AGGGGCCACGTCAAGCGCTAAACCGGGCCTCTCTCCCCCATCACGGGCCTCAGTCAGGCCATCGTGAGCTCCCAGTGACCCCAGGGGCCACGTCAAGTGCTAAACCGGGCCTCTCTCTCCCCCATCACGGGCCTCAGTCAGGCCATCGTGAGCTCCCAGTGACCCCAGGGGCCACGTCAAGCCCGGATGAGCTCTCTCTCCCTGTCTCTCTCTCTCTCTCTCAGGTGGAATGAGAGCTACAAGAGGGACCTGGTCTCGAGCCGCGTGGAGACGACCCGGGCGCTGGCCCAAGCCATCTCCTCGTCCCCCCAGCCCCCCCAAGCCTGGGTCCTCGTCACCGGAGTGGGTAAGTGCCACAGGCGCTTGGACAGATGGGTACTTTATCGTCCACTGCTGTGGGAATGTCTCTTTGGCATCTCCCACAGAGACGTACGAAGCACACAAGCAAAACATATTTGCCGGCAGCTGTATCACCCTGCAACTCCACAGAAGCTCAGCAGGTGTGAGTCTGGTCAGTACCTGGATAGGAGACTCCTGGGAAAGCTAAGGTTGCTGCTGGGAGAGGTGTGAGTGGGGCCAGCAGGGGGTGCTCACTGTGTGGGTCCTAATGCCCCAGTATAGTGACGGGGACACTAGACTGTTAACAGGGCGTTGTCCTTCAGATGAGACATGAAACTGAGGTCCTGCCTCTCTGTGGTCAGTAAAGAACCCAGGGTGTCTCTCAGAAAGAGTAGGGGTGTGACCCCAGTGTCCTGGACAGACTCCCCCTGGTCTTTACCCATCATGGCCTCCTAATAACCCCCCTCTCTGAACTGGCCTCATCACTCTGCTCTCCTCCCCACTGAGAGCTGGTGTGTGGTGAGAGTACTGGAGCATGATCCAGGTGGGGCTGCACACTGGTGGTGGTAGTGGGATTCCCCATTACTTGTAATGCGTTTTAAGTGGAGTGTCCAGAAAAACGCTGTATGTGCTGTAAGCTATTATTATTATTATTATTATTATTATTATTATTATATAAAATCACATGAAATCACAACAGCAGTATGTGATACATAAATGGATAAAAAACAGGTGGTGGGGGGAATGCATTTATATACTCTCACTGAGCAGTTTTATTGTAGAGGGGACAAAGGACGTCTTATGAATGTATTTATTTGGACTCAGTCCCCTATACCGTGTCCCTGATGGGAGGATTATGAGGTGAGAGTGGAGTGGGTGTGTGGAGTCAGCTGTGATGTTCCTCGCCGTTCTGAGAGCTGCATGATGATACACGTCGCAGAGCCGGGGCTGCTGTTTCCCACTTCCTCTTCCTGACATTCTCACTTCCTCTTCCTGACGTTCTCACAGTCCCGGACAGTTGGGTTTTGCTTTTCAACCCCAGGGTTCCCATACCAAACTGTCATGTTAGAGGCCAGGATACTCTCAAGAAGGTTTTTATCTGCCTTCTCTAGGACAGTCTGACTGCCATTACAGCTCTTGAGTCTTTGAATTAAAAACAGCCTCCGATTTGCTGTCTTATAAATGTTGTCTGTATTCTCAGCTATACTCAGATATTCTCATATACACGCCTTGGGGTTCAGCTGTCCATCCCCGCTATGGATAAAATATTACATCAAGGCGGCACAGTGGCTCAGAGTTCCTGGGCTGCTGTCTGTGTGGAGTTTGCATGTTCTCCCCAGGTTCGTGTGGGTTTCCTCCCACAGTCTAAAGACATGCTGGTGGGTTAATCGGCTTCTGGGAAGACCGGTCCTGGTGTGAGTGTGGGTCTGGTGTGTGTTTTTGTGTGTGGTGCGAGTGTGTGTGTCTCTGCCCCGTGCTGGGCTGGTGTACCCCGCCTCGCACCCGAGGCCTGGCTGGGATCGGCTCCGGCTGCCCTGCCGCCCTGGAAGGGATGAGGCCGTTAAGACGATGGCTGGACGGTTCTTACATCCTACATGCCGTGACGTCAGGCGGCCTGGGTGGAGCGGCTGTCCTGCTCCGGGGTACCATGATGACGAAGGCCCGTCGCCCGGTCAGATCCCAGGCTGTTTTGGGGAAAAGTCTGGGAATAATCCCTCGTAGGCGCCTGTCCCGCAGACCACAGGATCGGGAAAGGAGAGGAGTTCACTTGGCCCGCCTGGTCTGTTTATTATTTTGTTAATAATTGACCTGAGTGTCTCGGCCAGGGTATCGGCTTCAACAGCATAGCTGGGCAGCTTGTTCCCCACCCCCGCCACCCTCTGTGTAAAGAAGAGCCTCCTGTCCTGACTGGAGGAGCTCACCCA